TCCAGATCCACAGGGGAACCGACTAATCCGGAATCGAGCCGGGTAGGACCACAAGGGCGGCAAAGCTCTCCTCAAGAGTTTTAACACTGCTGCATTCCCAGGGCCCGAACACGAGACCACTGGTTAAGCTGGAAGAGACCCAAACCATCTCATCCAAGCACTCTTGGGTGCGAATCATGTTTATTAGTTGTGTAACACTATAGTATGAGTTCAGTGTGTACCGTATAGATAACTGAAAGTTTCGGTCAAAACCAATTTTACATGGTAATTGGCCATAAAATTACCAATGAAAAAAAGTTTATTTGTATACAGAGAAAACAAGACAGAAGAGTCAAGACATCAAACATGGTGTACATAGAAAATTTTCACAAACCAATATTTCATCTTAATGTGTTTGCATACATTAAATTCAAATTTTATTTAGCTAAGTATATAACCAAATTGGCATCACCGGTGCATGTGTCCGGATCAAAGCATACTGGTTATATTAGTTGTAATTTAATCTCATTTATATTGCACAATAACCTTCACAATCAAGAACTTTAAATCTAATCAACACTATCTAACAAATTATAGCTCTGTTTATAATGTACATATCAAGAGATGTTAAATGGGCAAAGCACCCATAGGGCAGCCCGTGTAGCCCGGAAAATAATAGGACTACATACATTAAATATCGGCCCGCCAAAATCAATTTTATTTATTTATTTATTTATTTGCAAACATATAGCCAGAGCCTGTAAGGGCTAACCCATCCCTATTGTGCTCTTATTAATATAAATAAGATTTTAATACCCAATCGTGGATCCTTTGTGTCCAAAATTTGAGAGATCCAAGTAAATATAATAACACTTAAATAAAATACCACTGAGGTTCAGTAACCTTATTACAATCTCACCCTTGACCTTCGTTTGACTTTTACAAATATTTTCTATTTAAAAATTTTGAAGTTTTTGTTGCATTTAGAGCTAGATCACAGGTGTATTTTTTACAGTTAAATGGTACCTGGTTCAAATAGGTTGCGACTCATCTGAGTCATAATCCCTGTATCATTTCCTTGATATCGTATCCTTGAAGCTACACAAGAACAACAAGACCGAAACACCCTTGTACGTTAATTGAGAAAGGCCCAAAAGAATATAATAGAAAGGGAAAATAAAGAAAGGAGAAAAGAAAGACAGTACAAAATCATGTCTTTATAAATATAGTAAAGCACGCATCCTTGCACAAACAAATTGATTACCTGCAGGAAAGTTAGAAGCAAGATAACTCCAGAGTTCCAAAATGCATGAATCGTGATTGGTGTCAGAAGGTTGCGTGTTTGAGCGTAAGAAAACCCCAAAGCGGTTCCTATAAGCACAACAGTGCACTTGAGAAACATGTATGCATTGTAAACTCGAAAAACATAAATAAGATTCCATTTGATGTAAAGCACCTAGCATTTTCATTTGGTTTAATTATATATAAATATTGTGATGCATGAGGGGCTGAACAACTAAAGTTTCGGTAGTTAAAACTTTGCCTGAGCATGTAGAGGTATACTCCTTACATAATGTGGACTTTTTGCTCATTATTTGACTGATGTCAGTAGCTAATACTACATATTTTGCCTAGCTTCTTTAACACAAGGGTATGTTTTTTATTAGAAAACGTAAAATAAGCAATTTAACAGAAAAAAAAAAATAAAGTTTATTACCAAGAACAAAGAGCTGTGGAAATTCTGCAGGAGTGAGATGTGCTCCTGCAAATACTGCAGCACTTATAAGCACAGCAAATGGTGTGGGCAACCTGCAGAAATAATTAACAGATCATCAATCACCAACAACAATAATACAAATAAACTGCATTTATTTCGAATAGCGTCAACAATTCTTCGAAACAACTGCATACTGGCAAATAGTAATCATTTTCATCTGACGCCTTTTACTAATTCTTCTTCTTTGGGAATCTAGAATTACAAGAGCCATTAGTATCTAGAACTAATGAACCCGTTTAATGGATGGTAAGGTGAACATTATTGTGAATCATAACCAGGCAGCTGAGCGTATCTAAAACGTCTTAAACACCATGTAACAAAAAAGCCCAGCACAACCCATACAACTGAATATACAGTAGAGTGACCAAACATCTCAAAATAACCATATATGTGCTTAGTGAAAAAGGCTGCCACTTGTAGTTCTGACGGTCCATACTGAAGAGCCATTGTTTTCTGATGACAATGACTGTGTAAAAGACGCATCAACAGCAATATGCTTTATAAGTTGGCAATTTTGTATGGCTCCAGTATTATCACAAATAAGAGGTTGTAGGGCCATCATAAATAGCAAAATCAGATACCAATCATCGATCCATACAATTTCTGTAGTTGTAGAGGTAAATGCTAGACGTTCTGCATCGGTAATAGACCGAGATACAGCTTCCTACTCTTTTGACTTACATATCAGAGGAGAAGAACTAAGAAGAATGCAATAAACAATGACATTGGATCACTCACTCGAGTGTGAGTCCGAGAAAGCATGAATCTGAAGCATACTATCACAAGCATAAAACAAGCACTAAAATGATGTCGTAAATGTCCAAAAAGAAATGAAGTATGAGCACTTACAAGCAAACTCAAAATGGATTGCATAAGCAATTATCAAGCCTGGTAATATAAACCTTGAAGCCAAAAGAAAAACCATCAACAAAGACAAGAGCATCAACATCAAGAAGCCTGGCCAACAAAGCAGGACTGGGCAGAACCGTTGTGTGATGATGTATAAAATAACGAGTGTAGACTTCTATGATAGCTAGTTTACTTCTGTGACTCATTAACCGAACTGAACTGAACTTTTGGCATTACCATTTGCTCATACTGATACCCAACCAAATTTTAGTCGGTTACCAAACTTTTGGTAATCGGAAAATCGGTTCGATATTTGTATTATTCAGTAGTATCCAAAATTATCAAGCATCAAAACATAAGAGGAAAAATGGATAAGAAAAAAAAAAAAAAAAAAAAA